GTGTGGTGGGCGTGTGCGTGTGTGTGTGTGTGTGTGTGTTTGAGGTGAGTGTGTGTGTGTGTGTGTGTTTGAGGTGAGTGTGTGAGGTTAATAAATGGGCCGTCGTCAGCGTTTGCAGCACCTGTGATGAGTTTGTGTTCAACATAAACAAGCACAAAGCCTGAGGGAGCAAACACAAACACGCGTATGAATACACACATAACATGCTCTCAGAGTTGGTGAGCTGTGTTCAGTGGCGTCGGCTGGATCTGTAAGGGTCTGTTTTTCTGTAAAGCGTGAATCTGGAGCACTGAAGGATGCTGGGAGGATACAGAGACACCCAGAGTGTAAAATAGGCCAGAGAGAGAGAGTGTGTGTGTGTGAGTCCTTTAGTTCCCCTCAAACACACACACGGTCCAAAACACTCGCCAAGAATAATGTGAGTAAAAAGGGCTTTGCTGAGTACTGAGCTGGTCTCCATATGTTTGCTAACCATCTGCTGCACATTTATTAGGAATACGGCTGTAATTGAACGGTAAGAACAACAGCGACTGTCAGCGATTCACCGGCTAATAATAACAGGTTTATTACCTGCTAAAGCCTTTTAGCGTTAGAAATGTTTGAGGAAAGCAGTCTCTTCTGCTCGCCAAGGTTGCATGTATTTAATTAAAAATACATGTAAAAAAAAATGTTGTAAAATTGTCAAATATATTAAAATTCAAATGAGCTGTTTTCTGTGTGAATCTGTGTTAAACTGTAATTTATTTCTGTGATGCGCAGCTGAATTTTCAGCATCATTACTCCAGTCTTCAGTGTCACATGATCTTCAGAAATCAGTATAATATGCTGATTTGCTGCTCAAGAAACATTTCTGATTATTATCAATGTTGAAAACAGTTGTGATGCACAATCACACATTTTATTTGCCAGGATTCACAGATGAATAGAGAGTTCAAAAGAACAGCATTTGTTTGAAAGAGAAATCTTTTGAAACATTATAAATGTCTTTACAGTCACTTTTGATCAATTTAATGCGTCCTTGATGAATAAAAGTATACATTTTGTAAAAAAAAAACAACAACACATCTTACTGACTACAATCATCACAATGGTAGTGTACATGTGAAATATTGTGCATATATTTGAAGAAAAACACATTGAATAAGTCCGTATTTATGGCTGCTAATTGTTCGGTTTTGTTTCTCTGTTGCAGGAGACTAATGAGATCGTGGCCATTAAGAAGTTTAAGGACAGTGAAGGTGAGTCTCCTGCTCATCAGTGAACACTAGTCCTTCATCTGAGCTGATTCACTCATCAAACAACACACAACCAAACAACATCCAGCCCGTCTGTCTGTGACATCATGATGCAGCTCATGAATATTAATAAGGCTCCGCTAACGATAGATACTGTAAGCATGACGTATTAATCTGAAGATCCGATTTATAGAAGAGCGTTTGTTATAAACATTCTATATCAAAATAATAATATAAATTATTTAATTTAATTTATTAACAAACTGTGATTAGAAATGAACATGCGTAAAATATGCATTTCTTAAATTGCAGCTTTATAGAAGAGCATCTGTTCTATATAAGAATATTAATAATAATATAAACATTACATGCATACATTTAACATCAAATTGTAATTAATATACATAAATAGGCTTTTTTTATAATTACAACTTTACAGAAGAGCATTTGTTCAATAAACATTCCATATCGGAAAAAAAAAAAAACGTTTTTTTTTTTTAATTAATGCTTTAATATGCATAAACTTCCATAAACACACAGCTTTGTCTTCGTACTCTGTTCCAGTGCTAAAACTTATTTAAAAGATTAAAATCATGTTTTGTTAACTGAAATAAAATAAAATATAATATAAATATTGGGTGCAAAACTATATTAGAAATTACTAAAAGACATTTAAGTTAAAGCACTAAAATTACTAACTGTAAATAAATTAAAACTAAAACAAATAAGAATATATATTAAACTTGACAAATATGAAAAATATGAAAGTTCAATAATTAAAATAAACCTGAAAATATAAAATTAAATTATAAGTAGTATAAGTAAACTATAAGTAGTATATACATAATACTAAATTAACTGAAATAAAATGAAATAAATTATAATATAAATATTAGATGGAAAACACTACATTAGAAATGCGTAACATTAGGGCTGTCAATCGATTAAAATATTTAATCGCGATTCATCGCATGACTGTCATGAGTTAACTCGTGATTAATCGCAACTTAATCGCACATTTTTATCTCTTCTAAATGTACCTTAAATTAATACTTTTCAAAATTTTAATACTCTAATCAACATGGTCATGGACAAATATAGATGCTTTATGCAAATGTATGTTTATTATTAGTGAAACCATACTCAACATAGAGCATAAAGACATGTTTCAAAGGTCATAGATGTAGCAATAGCCAAAAATACATTGTATGGGTCAAAATGATCGATTTTTCTTTTATGCCAAAAATCATTAGGACATTAAGTAAAGATCATGTTCCATGAAGATATTTTGTACATTTCCTACCATAAATATATCAAAACTTAATGTTTGATTAGTAATATGCATTGCTAAGAACTTCATTTGGACAACTTTAAAGATGATTTTCTCAATATTTAGATTTTTTTGCATCCTCAGATTCCAGATTTTCAAATAGTTGTATCTCAGCCAAATATTGTCCGATCCTAACAAACCATACAACAATGAAAGCTCATTTATTCAGCTTCAGATGATGTATACATCTCAATTTAAAAAAATTTACCCTTATGACTTGATTTGTGCTCCAGGTTCACGTATATATTTAAATAAAAAAATTAAATGTCAATCAAAAATAATATAGACATTTTAATAAATACATTGAAATCTGAAAATATAAAATAAAAGCCAACTAAAAAAAAAATGAATATGAACTATAATTAGTATATAAATCATAGTAGTTACACTTAAGTAATGTGTTACATTGTGTTAGAAATGAAACAAAGTAACTAATTATGTTCTTTTTTTTTAATTGAAAGTGACAAATTAGTTTCTAGTTTCTACTGGTTTTGTGACATTTCGGTTTACATATAAAAAGTGATGCATGTTGACTTCTTGTGGATAAAATAAAATTTAATATATTTTAAAATAAAAATACTTTTATTTTATTTTAATAAAATATATTTTAATTATATTATTAAATATGAATCACTGTCCTCTGAACTGCATTAAATATTACACATGCATGCTGGATTGATCTGTCTCTCTGGCTTTCTAGATATCAAGCCGGAGAATCTGCTCATCAGCTCCGACGATATGCTCAAACTGTGCGACTTCGGTGAGTTTCTGTAGTCATGTGATCATGAAGCACCAATCACTGGGCTTCTATCTGGATTGTCCGATGCGCATCACAGGACTGTGTGTGTGAGCGAATCTGAATTCTCATACTGACCTGTATTAGACTCGTGTGTGTGTGTGTGTGTGTGTGTGTGTGTGTGTGTGTGACAGCAGGTGGTCTGTCTGTCTGTTCTCCATTCTGCTGGAAACACTGCCATTGTTTTGATTGGGAAATGCAATTAAACATCTTCTGTCCTCCTAAAATCCTTTCAAAAGACAAAAAAATCACCAATGAGATCTGTTTATGTCTCAGTTGTTTCTTTAACATGCTTGATCAGTCACTGATGTAAATGTGAGGTCTGTTGTTCTGGCAGGGTTTGCGCGGGATCTCTCAGAAAGCACCGATGCGAACTACACGGAGTATGTGGCGACTAGATGGTACCGATCCCCGGAGCTGCTGCTGGGGTGAGCGTGTGAACGTCAGTCATGCTATCAACTGTCTTGTCACATTTCAATATGAAAAAAAAGTTATATTCTGCTTAAATAAATTCTGTTTTATTTTAATGTATGTCTATTTTAAAGTTTATTTTTAGGACCATTTGATTATTTTTTTTGGACTTTGGAATTTTTTTTTCTAAACCCTTAGTTATTTATAACCCTAAATTATTTTTTTTAATGCATCTGGATGTTACTTTCTATTTATTTATTTGTTTGTTTGTTAGTTTAGTTATTTATAAATTAATAAATAAAATATTTTTTTTTAATAAAATGTTAATAATTAAATTGTATTTTAATTAATATTTGATAATAATATTGTTAAATTATCTATATCTGTCTGTCTGTCTGTTAAAATGTAAAAAAATTATCAAATGTTTATATATATATATATATTAGTTCAAATAGATTAAAAATACAATTTATATTATATAATTTATTTCTGTTTTAATTTTTTTCAACATTAAATGTCAGTTATTTAATTTTGTTTAATTTCGATTATGAATTATTTCAATGTTTAATTAATATAATCAATAACCTCACATAATATGTATATAATATAAGTGTGCCCTGATCATGCTCTTGGCAGGTTTCACTGATTCGCTGACTGTCTGTGGTGTTTGTTCATGAGTCTCTCACCTGATAATCAGTGTCTCTGTCAGGGCTCCGTACGGGAAGGCGGTGGACATGTGGTCGGTGGGGTGTATTCTGGGCGAGCTGAGCGACGGTCAGCCTCTGTTTCCGGGCGAGAGTGAGATCGACCAGCTCTTCACCATCCAGAAGGTCCTGGGGCCCCTGCCGCCCGAACAGATGAAGCTCTTCTACAACAACCCTCGCTTTCACGGGCTACGGGTCAGTCTGTCTGTCCCTCTCGAATCAGATCAGCTGCTCCTGTTCTTACTGTGAGCCATTCATCAGCGTGTGCTATCCGTGTGCAGTTTCCCTCGGTCAGCCATCCGCAGACTCTGGAGAGACACTATCTGGGGATCATCAGTCCAGTCCTGCTTGACCTCATGAAGGTAAGAGATGTGTGTGTGTTTCCTCAGGAGTGAGCTCAAGCTGACACAATCTCCGTTTGAGGGCTTCCTGAATTGGAAAAACATTTTATAAATAAAAGAAAAATGTATTAAAAAATATATAGTTAAAAATAAGTGCAACCGATAAAATTATAGAATATAATGTGTGTATATAAATATATAAAATTATAACTAAGATAATAAATGTAACAACATAATATATGATAAATTACATTAGTATAAAAATATGTAATTACAACAAGAGTTAAAAACAAATTTAAATAGATTGTAAAATAAAAATAAATTGTTTTCGTTTTTTATATACAGGTGCATGTCAATAAATTAGAATGTCGTGGAAAAGTTCATTTATTTCAGTAATTCAACTCAAATTGTGAAACTCGTGTATTAAATAAATTCAATGCACACAGACTGAAGTAGTTTAAGTCTTTGGTTCTTTTAATTGTGATGATTTTGGCTCACATTTAACAAAAACCCACCAATTCACTTTCTCAACAAATTAGAATACTTCATAAGACAAATAAAAAAAACATTTTTAGTGAATTGAAAGGGAGAGAAATTAGTCAAGTTTTCCGTAACCTTCACGTTTCAAAGCTGTATGAAATATTAAATAATCAAACTAATTAGTGTTTTTGTGTTTGTCATCCATCCCCGACACAGATCTAAACGAGCCTGATCTTCCCTTCTCTAGTCGTTCGTCTCAAGCACTCGTTCGCTGGGTTTCCATTCGCTTGCACTTCATTCGTCATTAGTTTACCTGAGGACTGAATCAGTCCGTGTAGCCTGCATACTACACCTGTTTGTGTGTCTTTTTACTATCTGTGAGTTTAGTAGTCAGCGGTTTGCACAGCTGGTCCGTGTTTATGCTAATGAGCGTGACTCACGGGGCTTCATTAGGTGAATGTGTCGTATCATCACCACCGTAATTGTGCACTAATTATATTTGCAGTGTGGTGGTTTCCTTATTTCTGTAGCGGCAACTCTCCTGCTGCTAATAATCCTGACACTGAAAGTATCCTCCGGTAAACTCTAACAGGATGCTTGTTCTGTCATGATTTAATGAAACAACATGAATCATGCCTGAAATAAATCCACAATAAATTAAGTCTAGGACGTTGTGGTAATTAAATATTAAATATTTTAAATATTTTATAATTAAAAAATATCGGTGTTCTGGTGCAATGGGCTTGTTGAAGCTCGTTTCCTCTGGCAGTCGGATATTAATAGATATTCGTTGGGTGAATCTCATGAAATCTGTCAAAATGATTTTCAAGTCGTGTTTCACCACAAAAATCAAAAGGAGGAAAAAAAATGAATATGTATTTTGCATAAAAACGGTGAAGCTCGCTTTTAGGACCATGACGTGTTTTGCAACATGACATGCAATGCAAAAAAACAATACTTTTACAATATTTTTTATCCATAATATAGTACACAAAATACTGTATTACAATAATGAGAATCATCATTCACAATAATGACCTCAAACAACAGTATATATAATTGTTAATTATGTGTGTGTGTCTGTATATATGTATGTATATATATATTGAGAGAGAGAGAAAGATATATATATATGTGTATATATATACAGTGTTGGGGACATGTAACGGCGTTTTACATATTTTATTATTTAATTTAATTACAAAATAAATGTAACTGTAATCGGTTACAGTTACTAAGAAAAAATGTGTAATTAAATTACAGTTACTTATGAAAATGTTAACGATTACAAAGGGGATTACATTTGAATATTTACACACATCCACATACAGATTTAATTGATTTCTTTCCCAAGTTGCACTGACTACTCTGAGACATACGGCCCTATAATATGGAATATGCCACATTTTGGACGAATAAATAAAAAGTAGGTCAGTGCACTTGAATCAAACGCGATATGGACTAGTGTCTGTGAATATTAAGCCGCGAAAAGACAATATATGAGTCCTGCACGTTCGTGTCTGTGGGAATCAGGCGCGGACTGGCCATCGGGAGAACTGGGACAATTCTCGGTGGCCTGGCAGCCGATTTGGCCCGCTATTTTAATATTATTATTGTTTAATTGCCTGTCGAATGTACTAAAGCGATTATTTCCATTCCAATTCACCATTCGAGTTTTGTCTTTGTTTACTTAGTTAAGCAGCAGCAGCTCATTGCTCATCAGCCATCACTCAAAATACTGTATAAAGGACATCATTATTATCTATTATAATGTTACAGTAGTAATTTAGCAGACAAATAATCATATTTTATAATAGGTTTAGGGGGAGCTAGTGCAGACAATAACACAACCCTTACGAAAAATAATGATGATTTTACTATAAATCCAAAGACAATGGTTACTATTGTTAAACCATGGTAACCACAAATTAAATTATGCTACACTACCCATAGTTTAAGCATGGAATTTGTAGTAAAAATAAATACAAACGGTAATCCATTTGCCAAAAAACAAAAAAAAACATGGTTACTGTACTTTTACTATAATAAAAGCATGGTTAATTTTTGTAAGGGAAAAACAGGACTCATGTTCAGTATTAGGATTTTTCTATAAAGATATTGTACAGAGCCGGCGGAGCTGAGGACCACCACAGCAGAGCAGACGGGATCTTCGATCCACGGCGGAGCAGAAGACCACCAGAGCCAGACAGTAGACCACCACGGCGGAGCAGAGGACCACCACGGCGGAGCAAAAGACCACCAGAACCAGACAGTAGATCAAGACTGAGCGTTCAGGGGCAGCCTCCCTGGCTGGGTCGGGACGAGACAAAAGTTCACAAACTGCCTCCCTAACCTTGACAGAACAGGCAGAGAGTTCATAGACGGCCGGAACAGAACAGGCAGAGAATTCATAGGTGGCCTCCTTGGCCGGAACAGGACAAGCAGAGAGTTCATAGACGGCTTCCTTGGCCGGAACAGGACAGGCAGAGAGGTCATAGACGGCCTCCTTGGCCGGAACAGAACAGGCAGAAAGTGTGTTGCTGGGCGCCATCCCCACGCAAGGAACTGAGGCAAGTGTCGCCACTACAGTGGACACCATGGCCTCTGGGAGCACA